TTAGATCCCTCGCATGCGCAGTTCACAGTAGGGTTCGCGCTCCTATGAGAATCTAATGCCACCGATCTGACAGGAGGTGGAGCTCAGGAGGTAATGTGAGCGATGGGGAGCGGCTGTAAATACAGATGAAGCTTCACTCGCTTGCCTGCCGCTCACCTCCTGCTGTGTGGCCCGGTTCCTAACAGGCCACAGACTGGTACCAGTCTATGGCCCAGGGGTTGGGGACCCCTGGATTAAGGTTTTGGCATATTATCCAAAATGTGCCAAAACTGACCAGTGCAAATCTTTCCATTAGTTACTATATACTTAACTTTGACAGCACTATACAGGTAGTCCCCACTCAATGACCACAATTTGAACTAGCAACTCCATCACTAAGTGATGCAGTTGTTAAGCAAGACACCATGTGACTGTGACAGACTTATGACCTCACTTCTGCAGTCATTAAGCGAGGTACCCACAGTCATTAAGTGAGACATCACGTGACCACGACTTGCGATTTTACCGCTGGCTACTCCATTGACACTGCTTGTCAGAAGCTGGCTATAAGTGTGCAAATGGCAATCACATGACCGCAGGTCACTGCTACTGTCATAAACACCTGCCAGTTGCGAAGCACCTGAATCTCAATCATGTAACTGCGGGGGACGCTGTGCGGTCGTAAGTCCAAGGGCCAATCGTAAAGACACTTTTTCAGCACCATTGTAAGTTTGAACAGTCACTAAACAGGGCAGTCATTAAGCGAGGACTACCTGTATCTAGATCAGGGATTGGAAATATCGGGACCCCATGGCCTTAACCTGGTTTGGAAAATGGCCTAGAAAGAGCTCAAGCAAGGCCAGCCCCTTCTATCATATGCAGGAGAAAAAAGGTGAGGTGGAAACAAATGACAATCTCATATGCTCTATTTTAGGCAGAATCTCAGCTCTGCATCAGCTGATCATGGTTCTTCCCTTTGGAGGAGACTCAGAGCAGCTGAACAAAGCTGCACTTCTGTTGTTTCACTTTGGACACCTCTCATCTCCAAAGGTATGTGATTTGAAACATTAATTATCAACATTTTGGATGCTGAATTGCAATCAATGTGACTTGAGTCAGGACTTTTACTCAGCAGGATATATTATCCATATTACCTGAGGTCCTGCTCAGATAATATGGTTAGGGGAGTTGTAAGTCAGAATCCTGACTCTAGGCAACCTTGTTCCAGATTTATCAGTATATTGTCAGGTAGATACTAGTTTATTTTATATCCTACTTTAAGGAAACAATTCCTTACAATTAAGCCATAAGCAATGAAGATAAGTCTAAAGTTCCTTATTTTGTCTACCACTCTTCACTTATCGTTAAGGCCAAAAAATTATTTACCTGAAAGCAGGATAGGCAACTTCATGCATAATTTAGGACCAAGTGTAACATATATAGAGAACATTATAAATGTATTTCTGATTACTTATACCTAAATGAGCTGTCATAATCTACCTAAAGGCAAAGAAGCAAATAATCAGTCAATGGGAAATTTCCTCTCAATGATCAGTATACAATTTTAAAAATGATCAAAATAATTTTATTGGGAAGTACGGCTTATTGGGGGACATAGTCCAATTGCAGCAGCCTCACATTTGAAAAGAAAAAATCCTTGTCAGTTCCAACTGGCCCCGAGATAATCAAAAGAAAAGACACAAAATACACTTCACTGAATATCAAATATAACTCTTCCCATGACTGCTCTGTATTTCAAATTATTACCATATTTGCCTGAAAGGAAGACAAGTTTTTTTCTCAAATAATTACCTGTGGAAGGCCAAGCTCAGTTGAGTACATAGAAACAGACCCTAGAGTAAGAGCCACTGAATTCAGTGGATCTTACTATATAGTAAGCACAGGATTTCTTATACTTTCAATTCAGAAGAAAGGCCTCTATTGATCCAGTTCAATAACACAAGGATCTCTTCCCCAGTTTCCACCTAAAATTAAACGGGTATAGGCATCCAGCCTGAGCATAACAGCAATCTACATGTACTCACCTATGAAAAAGAGTAATAGAATTCAATGGGACTTACTAAACATGCATAGATTCATGCCAGCTGTGCACAAATATCTGCAGTCTCTGTCACAGCATGTGTGTCTGCGTGTGTGATCAAGACAATTGCTTGAGTATACAGTATATATGCATACAGGAGATCAATCAGTTTTGCCAACAGGGCACTTTATTTTACAGCACTTAATTTATCATTTGATTATTACTAATTTTTTGGCTCAGTACATGCTCTCTTTTAAAATGTTCCTTTGGCCTGTGCATACCTAGATATATACAAAAGTGTCTCACCTTCTGATGAAAAAAAGATTCCCAGTATGGTTTCAACACCAATTGATATTGCTAATGGACCCAGGGCAGTTTACAGACTTTTTATCTTCATTTATAATTTTTTTTTTTTTTGGTATGAGGGGATCACCTTAAATTCAGGGACATCTTTCTTTTGGGTAAGTATGGTATCTCTCTGTTCCTAACACTTATCCTTGTAATACTTCCAGCTTAAGCAATTGTTTATGAATTAACAATAATTTTATAGCAATTATTTTATATTCTGACTCTTATGGGTTTAATACCTAATTGCTTCAAATCTTACATTAAAGTCTGTTTCCTCACCCTCGTTCCCATTTGCACAAACCTCAAACTTGATCCATTTACAGCCTAATCTACAATTGAACAGTCAGCATTTTATATCTATTCAGAATTTATATCACATAATGTTATCTTTGAAAAATATACTTACCAGATAACAAAAAGAGGCTAGTCTAAATATAAATGCACAAGCCATCTTTTTATTAACTAAAAAATCATCTGCTAAGTAAATACCTTGTGCTCATTTGTCCTAGACCATTCTGCATCTTTTCGTTTCTTTTTGCCTTTTCTGTCTTTGCTGGATTGAACAATTTCAGTTCCATAAGATTGTAGATCCACTCGGGAATGGAACTGGTATCGGCCGCTTTCAACATCACAGTAATAATAAATTCCAGTGGTTGGATCATAATACAACTGATTTTCCTTTAACAAAGTTAAAAGGACAATAGATATATGCATCATATCTTTACATCTGCTATTTTACACACATTACTATGTACTTTGGCAGATACATACTATAACAATTCATTTAATAAAAACACATTGCAAAGGATATAATCCATAGAAGTATTTGATTTTTAAGTAATGACGGTCATTTGGCTGAAAATAAATTCTTCCCCTTCCACTCACTGTATACATCCCAATTCCTTTCTGAACAACTGGGGACACTCTAGAACAAGTTCTGCAATATGCAATGTGTGTGGTGGAGGGGGAGGTAGAATATATGCAAAAATCCACTTATGTAATGTTGAATGTAGTCCATGACTTAACTTTGATTCCATCAGTGCAAGTAAAACAGTTACAACATTTCTACTTTTGTTTGTGTAACAGATCTCATTCATGCCCTTGTCATCTACTATATGGATTACTGTAATTCACTTTACATAAGGCTGTACTTCAAGGCCATTGGTAAACAAGTACTGTATATTATATAGTAATTTCACTACTGTCCTATACTAGCATATTTCTTAGAAGAATTCAAGGTGCTGTTTTTCACATATAAAGCCCATATTAGAGCCAGTTTTGTACAGTGGTTAAGGTGTTGGCCTAGAAACCAGGAGACTGTGAGTTCTAGACCCGCCTTAGGCATGAAAACTGGCTGGGTGACTTTGAGCCAGTCACTCTCACTCAGCCTAACTCACCTCACAGGGTTGTTGTTGTGGGGAAAATAGGAGAAGGAAGGAGTATTAGGTATGTTCACCACCTTGAGTTATTTATAAAAATAAGAAAGGCAGGATAAAAAAATCTAAAAAAAAAAAAAAGGCCCTATGTGGCTCAAATATCTACAAGACAGTTTATATAAGACAGATTCTGCCTGCCCAATCTGAGTGAACGCCTGCTGAAGATTCTCACATACTGAAAGGTATAACTGAAGGGATCCAGAAGTGAACATTCTGCATGGGGGTTTCCATCCTCTGGAATAGCTTGCCCCCTGAGGCGAGGGTGGTTTCTACTCTCATGGGTTTTTGGAAGCTTGTAAAAACATGGTAATTTCAGAAGGCCTCAGACCTAATTGGTATGGAATTGCTGGCACCAAATGTGTAACTGTTAAATATGATACAATCCTTCTTGTGTTTTATTGTATTTTTTATTGTTTATGTTGACTGTGTCAATATATAGCGTACATGTCTTTGTACACTTCTTAGAATCCTTCAAGACAGAAGTGGTTTATAATCTTCATAAATAAATAAAGCTTTACCATTAAAACAAGCCTGATTTTTATTGCCCTCTATTCAGTACTCTTGGATGAATTAACTTTTCAGCTAAATGCATGTACCATAATTTTGGCTGCCATATTTCAATATTTTAGTTTCTGTATTTTCCAGACTTTTTCTATTATTGATAAAGTAATGAAACTGATCACTACCTTAGATATTCCATCACTCCATATGTATTCCGCTATTACTTTTACATTCCCTCCTTTTCACAAACCAGTTTGAGACACACAAGCCCTTTGTTTTCAGTCAACCCACTTGTTATGTAGAACTGCCCATTACTTTCAAAACAACTCACAAACAACAAAATATTTATCTAATCTGCTATCAAATTTCTATTAGTTGCTTAGATTTGTTCATAAGAACATACTTTAGGTAAACAAAACTTCAATGTAAAAATCTTTACCGAGTTATAATAGAATCCAGTGCTGTGGTCATAATATAATCCAGTATTTTCATCATATATAAATCCTGTTTGTGATACAGCAGCTTCTGCGGCAGCTCTCAGACTTTCTGCTAATGTGCCTTCTGTTAACGAAACATCTTTTGGTTTCTAAGATTAAGAAGTACAATATAATATGAAAAATTATATGTAACGTTTTACAACAATCTTTATTTTACAAACTTTATTTTATAGTAACTTTCTGAAGGATCCACCAAATCCCAAACTAAGTTTAGATTTAAATCCAGATCCAACACATTACCTGCTAAATGAACAACAGCTTATAAGAACAACAGCTTATGAAAACAACCATTCCCACTTTTTAATTATAAATTAGAATCTCTAATATAATAATGTTAAGTATGAATTGCATCTGTCTTTTTAAAAAATATGTTCCATATAAAAATATTAAAAAATCATATCAACGAAACAGTTATACAAACTTTGTACAAAAAACACTGTAATTTTCCAGAAGATATATTTATTATACAGAATAAAGTATTTTGTATGTAGTTCTTCATTACAAGCTATTAACACACAATAAATTGCATGAGACTTTCTTTTGCATAAATTTTCCTTTCTGTAATTCTTAGAAGTCTCCAGAATCATGCAAATGAAATTCAGTGGCCGATCACTAAGTCATCATCATAGTCTTCTGCCAGTTTCCAACAAGAATACAAAGTAGTGAATGATACTAACATTAACTCCACCCACTTGTGAAATATACTGATGTAATTGCCACAGTGGCTAAAAATAGTATTTTTAAAAATACTATTTAAAATACTATTTGGTCTCTTTGCTACAAAGCACTGCCTACACTTGACACAATCCTTCCACAATTAAAATATTGGCTGTTAAACCGTAAGACTTTCTAAAGATTATATCAAGAATGATCAATATGGAGGGAAGCTGCTGAAGAATAAAGCCTTTAGTGGCAAGGAATGATGAAACACAGTTACACAGTTAGGAGTTCTGAGTTTATCTAGAGAGGTATGTTTTTTTCTTCACACATCATTCTATGTAGGTAATTCAGAATAATACCTCAAGCATCAACAGCCAGTATAGTGGGAGATATAGTTAATCTTTGACCTGGAAGATTCATCTCAGTACTCATTCAGTACTCTGATGTTTATTAGTCAACTTCCAGCATCTCTCAACCTAAACTAATTTAAAAGCTGTTAGGAGAATGAAATGGAATAATGAAATATGCCACAAAACTTTTGGATGAAAAAATATATAAATTTGACAAAATAATCTTACCTGCACGTTACTTATTATATTGTCCTGTTCCTCAAGCTCATCCTGCTGTGTGGCTTTAACATCTAGTTGATCAACTAACTGTAAATGGTCTGTACAATTTGGGTTCAATACTTCATTATCGTTATTTGGCTGCACTGGCGCACTGGATAATTCAGAACAGTTGTAGTAATTGTGAGGATAGTAATAATCTGTTAAAAATTAGAGTGAAGAATTAGAAATGCTATTTTACATATTAGAAAATATTCATTTTATTGATATATGTATTTCCCATTCTCCTTGCATTAAAGTTCACAACATTTTAAATCCCAAAGTAAGATTCTAGACTCCCAGGAAGGTGGCTTTTAGTTTTTAATTTGTTTAAGGATTCTATTTCTGCAGTGTTATTTATCACAAAATCATTATATACAGTAATTTAGTTTTTGTAAGCCTGCTAGGAAGTCCTTTTAGCTTCAGAAGACAGTATAGATATACATACATACACACACATATTTGGCATATACGTAAATAGTATCAAAACATGCAAAAACACAAAGAACACTTGTTAATCTGGCTATGCTAGGGCTCTGTACAGTATTGAGACTATTAGCCCTAGGTTCTACAGTAATTCAAAGAAGCACTCTTAAGACAACTATACAGACATTCCAATTATTATGAAAACACAGAGGCATGTTCTTCCTTGGGGGATTGGCCCTGGGGAATAGCCTTAACCCAAAGATGGATTTTGGTAGCAACTGAGTCATTTCAGCTTCTGCTGATATATGGAAGCTAGGGCTAAGAAAGTAGGAATAAATTAGATTTGTTACATATTTAGTTTTTCCCTTTAAAAGTATGCTATCACTATGAATCTGTCATGTTGGGCAAAATATAAAACCCAAAGATAGATCAAGGATTAATAATAACCTTGAATTTATATAACCAAATACATACTTGGAAAAAGCAGGGTTGATTTTGGCTGGTCCAAATTATAATGTATCTAGTTACTTGACTTAATTTTTGTCATTACAGCTGGTCATAATATGAACTGTAATTTTGAGCACTGCTACATTGAACTTGCTTTTATCTCCCCCCCATCACTTTTTTCTTTTCAAATAATGTATTTCATTCTACAATGGGAAGGAATTATCCAATTATTACTATTTTTAAGTTGCACTGGAAGTCCATTGTCTAAGTAATTTGGTAAAAATGTTTTTAATAATAAATGGGATAATGTAACAATGTAGTCAGACATGGAGCATTTTCCATTGCTTAGGACAAAGTATTTTATCAGCAAGGCAAATCAACAGACATGACTCAGGTATCCACAAGATTATTTTAAATCTTCACAGGATATTACCTGCATATAACCATGCAGCAGAGTCTTCAGTTTGCACCTCTATAGTAGATGTTGTCTTCTCATTTCTTTCACCATTGCTGACTTTTTCAAGTTTTTCAATCTACAAAAGAAAGCAAGCATTTACAAATTAAACCTACCACATAGATTTTAGACTATGACTTATTCAACAAGAATTATTTCAAATTGATCAGACCTGTTTTGTATAGAAAAGAAAAAAAACATGTGGCTGGAGTTGCATATTAATTTATCTGTGAAACACATTTAATCCTTTCAGATGCCTACATTCTTTTGAACTATATAACTAGCATATGGAAACTGACCACTGAACAACAGAAATGGATTCTCCGTGCTCTGCTTAATAGTAAGAGGGTTGTCCTTCAACACTGGAAAGATACATTTATGGCCCATGGCTCTGATGCTACTTGCAACTTATGAATGAGTTGCTTACAGAGGTGGATTATGTATAGACAATTATAGTCATTCTTTATTGAAACTGTTATGTAAAACCCATGGAAGCCATAATATATATACAGTGAGATGGATGGTGACAAATTTGAAATATAAAATAAAATATAATATTTCTGTTGTTGGTTTGTTTCTTTTTTGTTTTTGCTTTTTCTGTTCCATTCTCTTTAATTAAAGGGGGGAAAAACCTGAACCCACAACAAAATCTTGTAGGACATGCTCAGCTTAAACAAGCATGCCAGCCAGCCAGATCTTCCTCTAGTACACCGTTAGCTGTAAATGGGTCATGCAGTCTAATTCATTCTTCATCCCTCACTCTGGCTTCCTTGCTTTTTCTTCTTAATTGATTCTCATGGCTTTGCAAGGCCACTGAGTGCACTTAGCCATCTTCAAAATCATTTGAGACAGCTTGTGTCTAAGCCTGCCTTCCTCTGGAATACAGCAAGTAATGATGATGACTCTGAAAAGAGCTTTCCTTCATCATCACCTCCAATTGTAACTACAATAACTTCAACAGAATATAAGCTTCACTCTCTATCAGCCCAATCCACCTCACAGGACTCAGGGTTGTGGGGAAATAGGACTCAGGAGCATTAAGTATGTTCACCGTCTTGAGTTATATATTTTAAAAAGGTAGGATAAAAATATCATCATCATCTAATCAATTTGCATTTGTGTATGGGGCAAATCAGGCTCAAATTACCCTACTTTGGACACATATCATGTGAAGATCTAGCTCTCTGGAGAAGGCTCTAATGCTGGGAAGGGTGGAAGAAAAAAAAGGACTACCAGCAGCAAAGTGGATGAACTCAGTTACAGTGGCAATGAGTAAATGGGAAAAGTTTTCAATTAGCAACAATCATGCCTCAGATAAACCTCATTGGCTATGATACTGCCACTGTGCAAAGCTGAGTGAGTGCACCCTTGGGAGTCCTGAAAGAACAGGTTAGGGATAGATCGTCATGGAGAAAATCTGTCTATGCAGTCACTAGGAGTTGAAAACGATTTGATGGCACAATCAATCAACAGGGCAACTGCAAGCCTAAAATAAATAAATACCGAGCAGCTGCCATATTGAGAGAGGAATTGCTGATGTTAAGCCAGGATCTCCCGGACCGAAAGATTAGGGAGCGCTGGGCCAGAACGACCCAGGTCAAACCCAACGCCTTTTCCAGTCGCTACTCCCTGGCAGGGCACTAGCAGAGCTAGCCGGGGCGCAGGGTTGCCTCCCGCCCCATGGCCTGGTAGTAAATCAAACACGGTCCAGCGGGGGGAAGATCACGCCCCTTCGATAGAGACGACAGGCAGCCAACTCCGCAGGTTTCCCAGGGGTGTGGCCAAGGAGTGCAGCCCCGGTTGAGTAACTGCCTGTCTCCGAGGAGCCGGCTTGCGTGAAAAGGCGCAAGACCCGCGGGGCCCCCCGAGAGCTCCCGCCAGCGCCTACCTGTTTCCGTAACTTGGTCGCGCAGGCCTGGGCTTGGAGGCGCCGCTTCTTTTCTCGTTGGAGCCGGCTCCGACAGGCGCTTAGCTCTGCTTCCAGCGCAGCCACCTTCTTCCGCAGGGCCGCCGCCGCGGACTCGCCGGCCACCTCGGCCATCCTCCCGC